TCATCCCCTTGAATACAAAGATTCCGCGAAGCTTTTGGGGTTATTCCTTGACACTCGTTTGTCTTGGTCTCCCCATATCTCTTACCTCCGTGTTGAGTGCTCTAAGGCCCTTACCCTCCTTCGGGTCTTGTCCCATACTTCCTGGGGGACAGATAGGCGCACTCTCCTTGCTTTACATTCCTCTCTTGTCCTGTCTAAGCTCGATTATGGTTGCCCTGCTTACTCGTCTGCTTCTCCTTCTACTCTTCGCCGTCTTGATGCTTTGCACCAAACTGGGTTGCGCCTCAGTTCTGGTGCCTTTCGTTCGACTCCCGTCCTTAGCTTGTATGTTGACACTGGCTTCCTGTCTCTCGAGGACCGCCGTGATCGCTACTGTCTTCGCTATCTTGCGCGGTCCTTACAACATCCTTCCTCTCGCCTCTGTCGTGCTTTAACTTTTACCCCTCCTGCGGTTCCTGTTCCTCTTCACCACCTCCCTCTTTCTGTCCGGTTATCTCGCCTCCAGGATTCTCTTTCCGTTCGTATTTCTAATGTTTCTTCTCGTGTTGTTCCTTCTTTGCCCCCATGGAGAGTCCCTCTTCTACGGTTTTGTACTTCCTTGACCCGTATCACTAAAGCTTTTACCCCTCCTACGGTTCTAAAACGCCTTTTCCTTGAGCACTTTTCTTCTCATTCCCGCTCCGTTTCTGTCTTCACCGATGGGTCAAAGTCGGTGGACGGTGTTGGCTACTCTGTTGTTTTTCCTGATCGCACTTATATGTGTCGCTTACCTCCGGAGACTAGCATCTTTACAGCGGAACTTTATGCTATTCTCTATGCTCTTCGTCTCCTGCTTTCTCATTGTCAGTCTTCCTTTGTAGTTGTTGTTGACTCTCATAGTGCCCTCATGGCTCTCGGGTCCTTTAATCCTGTTCATCCAGTAGTTGTCGAGATCCAGCATTGGCTGTTTCTTGTTCACAGTAAATTTAAGTCGGTTGAGTTTTGTTGGGTTCCCAGCCATATTAGTGTGTCTTTAAATGAGCGTGCGGATGCTGCCGCCAAGGAAGCTGTCCGCTCTTGTCCCGTCTCTCGTAAAGGCATTCCGTATTCCGACTTTTACCCGGTTATCCATTCCTCAGTCCTTACCCGTTGGCAGGCTTCTTCGTTGTCTGTTACTGGTAACAAGCTCCATACTCTTAAATGTTGTGTTTCCTCGTGGCCGTCCTCCTTCCACCGTAACCGGCGGTGGGAAACAGCTCTGGCGAGGTTGCGTAGTGGCCATACTCGCTTAACCCATGGTCACTTGATGGAGCGCTGCCCTGCTCCTTATTGTTCTAGTTGCATTGTCCCTCTTACGGTCGTGCATGTCCTTCTTGAATGTCCTGACTTCCAGGACGAGCGTGTGTCTTGCTTTCCGACCGCCCCTCGCGGTCACCTGACCCTCAATAGAATTCTTGGTGACTCGGATATTTTGATATTGTTCGCCTTATGCGTTTTTGTTCTCGTATTGGCATCCTTGGTGATATTTAGCGCCCTCTGATTATTTTGCGCATTTGATGGTGCTACATAGCCTTCCCAGTTTGGTGCCTTCTTTTGATAATTACTTACTTGGTGTATACTGGAAGCAGGTTTTCTTTCAAACATGTCTCATTGAATATGACCACATATTCTGTATTTACTATTTTCTGATTTAAGGCTTCTATCCCTCCAACTATTTTCTTAGCATCAGGGTTTAGCTGAAATATGAGTTCTCCAAAACTCATTTCGTAATTTTAAGGTGAACAAAAAAAGTGAATTACTATAGAATGTATTACACTTATTTATACAATTTGCACAACGTTTCAAACCTCCATGGTTCATTCTCAAGTGAAAGGAATTTTCAAGTTTGGTTGATTTTATACCTGCAATTGGTCAGGTGATAAGACAATAAAGGTGAAAACATGGGAGGATACATAAGAACATAAGAATAGAGGTAACTGCGGAAGGCCTATTGGCCCATCCGAGGCAGCTGCTATCTACATACAAAGATTAATCAAATGTAATTGGGCCTGTTATGTTGAACGGTGTCTTCTGTGTTGGCATCGTTATGTTCTGGTCTTGTCCTTACTCTCATGGTGGGTAGAGTAAATAGTTCCGTTGCTATATCCATTGTTCACCAATACCTGAGTTACTCTTTCAAACTCTCTACTCACGTTGCTCCATTCAGATTATATTCGTCGAGCGCTTACCCACTGCTCTGAATGGAGCAACGTGAGTAGAGAGTTTGAAAGAGTAACTCGGGTATTGGTGAACAACGGATATAGCAACGCGGAAATAAACACTGCTATAAGAAGACACTTGGACCGTTGGTATAATCCTGAACCTAGAACAGAAACCACAATACCTCCATAAAATTATATTACAAATCAACCATGCACAGTGAACATATAAAAGAGGAAAGAATAATGAAAGAAATAATCCGTAAAGGAGTAAAAAGCATTACAACTAACCAAAACATAAACCTGATAATATTCTATAAAACCAAGAAGACTTCCGAACTCCTTATCAAAAACAGCCCGAAGCCGACAGAGAACCTTGAGGAAACTGGACGGTTTTCTAAGAGAAGTTCCGGATCAGCCGAGCTATGGTGGGTACGTGGCCCTGCGGGCCGCTCCAAGCAACAGCCTGGTGGACCAGACTCTCACAAGTCGAGCCTGGCCTTGGGCCGGGCTTGGGGAGTAAAGAACTCCCAGAACCCCATCAACCAGATATCAACCAACCCTCTACAGCAGTCAAGCATTGTATACATGTACACTTGCCCCCACGAAGGATGTAACCTTCAATCTAAGTACATAGGTATGACGTCGACCAAGCTGACGAGGCGTGTGACATGCCATCTTCAATCCAGTGCCCCCAGGAATCACATGAGACAAGTCCATGACATCACCCTAACAAGAGAAATGTTGAACAAAAATACCTGTATAATAGACAAAACCCAAGATGCAAGAAGATTACAAATTCTTGAAGCAATTCATATAAGAATAGAACAACCTACCATGAACACTCAAATCACGGAACTATTTACTCTACCCACCATGAGAGTAAGGACAAGACCAGAACATAACGATGCCAACACAGAAGACACCGTTCAACATAACAGGCCAATTACACTTGATTAATCTTTGTATGTAGATAGCAGCTGCCTCGTATGGGCCAATAGGCCTTCTGCAATTACCTCTATTCTTATGTTCTTATGTATCCCCCCATGTTTTCACCTTTATTGTCTTATCACCTGACCCAGTGCAGGTATAAAATCAACCAAACCTGAAAATTCCTCTCATTTGAGAATGAACCATGGAGGTTCGAAACGTGCAAATTTTATAAATAAGTGTAATACATTCTATAGTAATTCACTTCTTTTCTTCACCTTAAAATTACGAAAATGAGTTTTGGAGAACTCGTATTTCAGCTAAGCCCTGATGCTAAGAAAATAGTTAAAGGGATCGAAGCCCTAAATCAGAAAATAGTACAGTAAATACAGAATATGCGGTCATATTCAATGAGACATGTTTTAAAGGGTTAATTATATATCTCTTAGCTCTAGTATTTTTCATCTTACTACATCTATGTTGATATATATAATTTTCAGGAAAATGTTCTTTGTCCTTTTGTTCTTTACTCCCCCTTCCTCTAATGATTTTGTTGCCATGTTTTTATGTACCATTTCACTTGATTTCCAGTCCCTATCACCATAGAAAAAGAAATTCATTCTTCATCATTTCTACAGTAGTTTCATCTAGATGTTTCGTATCATCGAGGTTTGTTTTCAGCTTTTCTCTGTCTTCCCTTGAGAGGTCTTGTCTTATTAACCAAAGTTTGCGATCACTTTGCAATTTCGTAGCATTTCTAAGCACTTCCGTCATTTGTTTCATTCAATTAAATGTCATCCTTAAGAGCTTCATCTCCTGGCCAACGGAGATTTAGTGCAAGAAAATGGACCCATAGTGGTGGTGCCCGTGTGTATGGTGGATGTGGTGGTGGACATTCTTCTTCTGCTGGAGAAGAGGAGGAATGGTGGGGGTTGAACTGGTTGGAGACATGTGATCAAGTCTGTTCAGTGGTCTCTCTGTAGTCTAGCAATCTGTGGCACAGACTCTGTGCAGCCTGTATATTACAGCTTTGTCTAGCCTGATAGCATGTCAAACCTGACAGCATGTCTAGCCTGACAATCTATCTACACCCAGTTTGTCTAGCCTGACAATCTGTCTACACCCAGTTTGTCTAGCCTGCCAATCTGTCTACACCCAGTTTGTCTAGCCTGACAATCTGTCTACACCCAGTTTGTCTAGCCTGACAATCTGTCTACACCCAGTTGGTGTAGCCTGACAATCTGTCTACACCCAGTTGGTCTAGCCTGACAATCTGTCTACACCCAGTTTGTCTAGCCTGACAATCTGTCTACACACAGTTTGTCTAGCCTGACAATCTGTCTACACCCAGTTTGTCTAGCCTGACAATCTGTCTACACCCAGTTTGTCTAGTCTGACAATCTCTCTACACCCAGTTTGTTTAGCTAGACAGCATGTTAAGCCTAATAGTCTGTCTAAACTGATAATATCTAGCCTGACTGTGTAGACCCAGTTTGTTTAGCCTGACTGCCTTATATTGCCTATGCTCTATGGTCTGATTTCACAACAGGATTAATTAATTTTAACTTATGATATGATGGGACACAATCATATCATAACTTCCACCAATCTCTGAACTGTTCCTCTATCCAAAGCAAATCCATACATCCGCTTTCTCTAGCGAACTCTTGTTCATTGAATCAGGTGAGTAAATCCGGCCTGGAAACTGTGCGTTCCAACCGGAGATTCACCGAATCGAGGTTATTTGAATTGAGTTTCCACTGTATATACAAGTTTATATACAATATTCCTTTTATTTTTTCCTTTTATTATTAGGAAATTTTTTCCAAATGTCAGATGTTTTGTATTAGTTGACTTAAAGCCCCGCTGATCTCTCATTCTTTTCTTTTGCAGCTCCTGTTATCACTTGAAGAATTACATCTGCAGTGTCCTGTATGTCTAATGCCACCCACTGGCATTAGCGCTCATGTGTCAGAAACACTGCATACATGATCGTGTCAGCCGAGTCATGAAGCACATCAATGTAACAAATACTGCAAGTACAGTGGCAGCATTTTGTGTCTTTAGCACAATTTCAACAGCCTGAGGATGGGAGTTTACTCCATTTTTGTATATTGATATGTTCAAAGTTTTCACCCATTACAGTAAACACATTTTCATCTGAAACACTACACATGCAACATCTAACTCTCATTCTACATGGTACAACGGTAACAAAACAAAAGTGTTGAAATTCAAATTTGGTGTTTCATATGTTTTATGAACTGAGTGTTTATTAATATTGTATTGTATATGCTGTATAAATTCTGTATACATTTGAAACCATTGTATTTTGTGAGAAAACATTTCATTATGTAAATTAACTATTACACTTAGGTAATTTCACGCGTGTGTGTGTTAGAGAGAAATATATGTAATAGATATAATAGAGGAACAATAGATTGGTTAGAAAGGTGGGTCCAAGAGCTAATAGCTAAATTCTACAGGCACAAATAGTAAATACACGTCAAACTACACAAGGGCCCATTGTGCTTGACCCTTATGCTACTGCTGCTGTACTGTATTTAAAATAACACAAACTTTTCTATAATATATAGGAAGTAACATATTCTCTAATATTAATAGATAAATTACTAATATTTTCTTTGCATCTAGGAATCAGTAACATTACTGATTTACACAGTCAAAGTTTACATTCTCTTTTATGTCTTGATAAGTAATCCACTTGCTATATATTTGAATCAAAGAGAGTGTTTTGTTTTTTGTACCTTATTTGACCTTCAGAGTCAAGTATTGACAGTAGAGGTAGCACCTTATTACCTGACTGCTTTATGCTAGCCGCCACAAAGTAACACAATATTGCTTGTCCCGCAGTTAAAGTGTTAAGTATCTTTAACAATGATTAATTTGAGAAAATCAGGAGGGGCTGTGAGGAGGATTTGAACCTATGCTCTGGGTTCTCTAAAGCAAACGCCTTAAACAACTACACCATGCCATGGTAAAAGGATTGCAATCAGGGATTGAACTGAATTCTCTAGGTGCAAAGATTTAGTAATATTCAAGTACTTGTGCATGTAAGAAGTCACATCACAAACAGAGAATATTAAGACCTTTCTCTAATATTTAAAAGGAAACAAGACTGAAGGTTGGGGGGGGAAGGGACAGGTATTTACGGAATTTATAGTAGGAAACTCTTTAAACATAAAATAGTTATTAAAATATGAGATGGAATTCTAATTAACTACCAACAACTATTTTGATTTTAAGGATTCAAACAATCCTTTTAGATTTGTGAATTACATGTTTATTTTACACATATAAGAGGACATACTACTACCATATACAGTAATCAATTATCACTTCTGAATTTAAACAGCTCTCTGTAAAAAGAGTAATACTGAGATTAATACCACACATTGAAGGTGATGGACACCTCACACACCTTCATCCTTGACAAGATTCAGGCATCCTCCTGAGGAGTTGAAGGCATGTAAGAACATAGTTATATCATGTCAAATAATTGTTGTAAATACAGGCACTAGATGCAGTGGCACTACATGCTCACTCTCACAATTACATTACTTAACAGAATTACATTTAACTTACAATATTTACTGACAGTAAAATTTAATTATTTAATATATAATGTCTGTCATTACATCAGCAGAGAAATAAGAATTATCAATATCTACATAAATTTAGCAATAAAATACAGAACATTTAAATCGGGAAAATACTTTGGATTTCTGGATCAACATGACTTTTCACATCAATACATTGTAATTTGTGCAGGAAGTGTCTAAACTTGTGCACTTAAGTGTCTAAAACAGTATAGCTAAAAAATATCATATAAAAGCATAAGAGAATTTTATGGACATGCATTCATGTTAGCATTCATTGTCTAAAATCCCTTTCAAGAATATAAAAAGTTAAATATGAGTCTTCACTCAGGAGAGAAACTACATCAGTGTTCAGTGTGTCAAAAAGAATTTACCAAGAAATCATTTCTAACACATCACATGAGGATTCATACAGGAGAGAAACTATATCAATGTTCAGTATGCCAAAAAGATTTTAGACGAAGAACATATCTTACAATGCACATGAGGATTCATACAGGAGAGAAACCACATCAGTGCTCAGTGTGTCAAAAAGACTTTATATGAAAATCACAACTTACAGTGCACACGAGGATTCATTAAGGAGAGAAAAACCAGTTTTCAGAGCGTCTAAAAGATATTATAAAAAAATCAGACCTAACACAGCACCTAAGGCATTATACAGGAGAAAAATGTATGCAGAAATCAGTTCTAACAGAGCATATTATAATTCATAGTGGAGAGAAACCATTTAAATGTTCAATATGTCTAAAAGACTTCACAAAGAAATCAGATCTAAGAAATCACATGAAGATTCATACAGGAGAGAACCCATATCAATGTCCAACATGTCTAATAAACTTCATAAGGAAATCAGATCTAAGAAATCACATGAAGATTCATACAGGAGAGAACCCATATCAATGTCCAACATGTCTAATAAACTTCATAAAGAAATCTGATCTAAGAAATCACATAAAGATTCATTCAGGAGAGAACCCTCTCTATGACAGAACCCATATAAATGTTCAGTGTGTCTTAAAGATTTCAAACAAAAAAAAAGTCTAATTGGGCACATTATGATTCATACTGGAGAGAGACCATATAAATGTTCAATGTGTCTAGTAGGCTTTAAAACAAAATCAGTTCTAATAAGGCACATAAAGATTCATACAGGAGAGAAAGCATATAAATGTTCAGTGTGTCTGAAAGACTTTATTCGAAAAGAATCCCTAACACAGCACATGAGAATTCATACAACAGAATAATATCAGTGCATTTAAAACACTATAAAAAATCATATCTAATATGGCAAATGAACATTTGTGTAGGAGAGAAACCATTCCTGTGATAAAAATGTGTGTAATACTTTCTGGGAGGGCTTTTGTGATGGCCCTTTGGTACTTGTTACTTTGTGAGTTCCACCCAATTCAGTCCATGCCAGGCCTTATCAAATCATATAAGCCTGCTAGGGCTCAGAAGCTAAAACCTTACTGCCCTAAAGAAATGCAAGGAGCAGGGAATCGTAATTCACCCTAACAGAAAGGAATGTGAGAGTTTGTAGTGACTTGATTAAGTGGGAATAAATGAAATTGGTATAAGAATTAAGCTCGGAAAATTTCTAAGAATTTTCTTTATTCTTTAACCTTTATTCCTGTCGTGATATTCAATTAGGTCGCCTGAGGAAGGACTTGCTTAGCTAATACACCAGTGTAGTAAGCAGCTCATTCCTCACTTTGGGACCATGTATGAACAACTGACTAGGCGCAAGCACAACTAGGTGAATACCCAGCATGTATACTTTAGTCCTATCAACCTTGTTACGGCCCTATTGGGTTGCAACTGGGTTCTTCTCTGATGTTATTAGAGTTTGGGTATCCGGCCCAAAGTTAGTAGTGGCTTTCAAGGGGGTGTGTTCCGTAAAGGGGAAGGGATACAAATGCTCAGATATATATATATATATATATGTATATATATATATATATATATATATATATATATATATATATATATATATATATATATAATCACCACCACCATAAATAAATATATAAACTGTCACACGGGGGGGTATAAATACACAATGTACAGAATCGTCTTTCTCCGAAGACACGGGATGCTCCACGGTGCTTACGATGAGTAGCCCTGGTTCTCTTCGTCGTGGCCCACGATGAATCCTCTGATTCTTTCGGCGAATCTACCCCGGCCACAGGCCAGCCAAATCACAGTCCCACTGGGTGCACCGTCGTGGAGGCCTTCAACCACAAATCCAGCCTGTAGCTGGCAGGTTCCGATCAGCTCTGCTGAGTAGGCCACTCCACGATCGATACTAGGGTTGCGAGCCCTAGGCAGGAGCCTCGTGTGATTCCGCAGATCACTCTCCTCTCTCTGCACCACAGTGGCCAGTCTCTCCCACCAGCCAGCCCCCAGATAAGACGATTCCTGGTACTGCCACGTCACAGGCAGGCTAATGCACTCAACAGTGTTCGTCCGGGGGTGACTCACAGCTTCTGCAGGAAACATGTGGAGAGACTATTGCTGCCTTGGGTAGACTGCCTCATCGTCCAATCCAGCAGTCCCAGGTCGACTCTGTAATCAGACACGTCATTAGTGTTGGGGACACTCTAGGGCACCTCACTTACAGGCTTAGACACAAACGTCCACCTATCCACTCCATAGATGGCGTTGCTGTCTAAGCGCCACCTCACCAGAGGTAAGCAGCGGCTATGTTATGAGCTGACTAAGACGGGAATCCAGCCCCTGTGGCCGGTATATCCCGTCCTCACTAGATGGCGTCGTCCATTTGGAGGGGGTTTCGGGAGCTGACTCACAGATGGCGTGGTCGTCACAGGTCCGTGCTACGACGCTGGGCTTGGGTCGGTAACACCTCCCCACCAAAAGGAATTTGGTTTGGGTTTCTAAAAGAAAAAAACAAAACAAATTAGTACGTGGGTATAACTCCAAACGGACTCACGTACACTATGAACTGGAGTGGCGAGGATGTCTTGTCCACAGAACTGTCCTAACGAGAAACTCTGGCACAATGGCACCTTGAAGATAGAAGGCGATGACCTGCCTGATGTGATCTTCCACACCTCCACTAAGATGTCAAGCAGGGGCATAATCTCACGTGTCCCGAGTAAGGATTGTTATAGACTCGATCTGGGGTGAATCGACACTTCCCAGTGTCGTGGCACCGATGATGGCTGGTCACAGACGGCATTTCTGGAACCGTTCCGGTAGTCCTTCAGGGAGACGGGAACCTGGAATACAGGGGTCTGATAATTTAGAGTGACAGCGATAGTTAAATCAGTTCTCACAGCATACGCCTCTACTAGGTCCACACCTAGTCCCAACAGGGCTGCTCGTACATCGAAGATGGCATTCGCTCTGCCACTGTCAGGTCGACCAACGTTCCGTATAACGCTGTATCTAGGCTCAGCAATCACGCGGGGGGTGTCAACCTGTCGGAAAGAGTCACTCATAATATCACCTCTCGTACCTCCTGTATCTACCATTACCTTCCAGGTCCCTTCTTCGACTGCAACACTCACAGTGCACGTCTGTAATCCCTGGGATCTCTTTACGATGTTCATGGGAGCCATCATCTGTCGGGTCGTCCACTGGTCCTTACTGAGAACACACATAAGAACAAAAAATACCGCTAGGAAACATTTGGTTAACTGAGGGATAAGCTTCCTGAGCCTGTAATGTCCATAGCCGGCTATATCCTTTAGCCTGGTTTGGACCGAAGAGGGCACTAGAACCTTCACACATACCTCACATACCTCCGACGTCTAGGGAATCTCTGGCCGGTTCAATGAACGCTGTACCTTGCCATACTGCAAGTACTCAGGGGCCTTCACTCCAGACTCTAGGGTATCCGTGGGTGTTTGTACCCAAGGCCTCTCTTCTCGCTCAGTCGCTTCTGCCTCCTTAACCTCATGTTCCTTGTTGGGAGAAGAATCAGGAGACTCGGCTAGAATACTGTCAATCTGTAGGCGAGAGGAAGGAATAAACACGTTAACTAATTCCGGGTCCGTCTGTACCTGGATATTACCAATGCCTGCTGTTACCTCGGACCTTGCTGTTCCGGCTGACTCGTCCACAATCTTGGGATGATTGTTGCTCCAATCTGTCACCAAGTCGTTGGCTAGTATCACGTCAATCCCAGCTATAGACAAGGTATCAACTACTGCCAACGCACATGTGCCGCTGAAGTAAGGCGAGTCTAGATGTACTGGCACTAAGGGGGCGACGTACTGCGTCCTAGGAAACCCAACCAGGACAACCTCTTGTCTCCCATCCACACTCACTCCCTCGGGTAACGAGTTTCTCACGATCAGGGACTGGGCTGCTCCACTATCTCTGAGCACTACAACTGATCTATCAGTATGATCACTCGATACATACCCGCTTGAAGTGTGAGGGGCAAACAATCTTGGTTCTTCCTGAGTAGTCATAGACTGGCTTCCTGCTGGTGGTGTCACACAGCTCATCAACATCACCTCCATACGTGGGCCGCTACCTCTTCTGCCTCGGCACATAGCAGCTACATGCCCTTTTTGCCCACAAGTCCAACACACCATATTCCTCCTCGGACTCCGGTGTTTCGGACTGTTAGGACTGGTCCTTCGAGGGCTACTTGTGGGCGTCTTCACAGCGCTTTGTGGGACGGGTCTCTCCTCTTCCTGACGAGGCTTACCAAACAGACGGGGGTAATTCTTCGGGACATACCTAGTGGAAGACCTATGTGTCAAGATGTATTCTTCGGCCATCGTGGCTGCTGCACTTAAGGTCTCCACCTGCTGTTCTTCTAGGTACGTCTTTAGATCTCCAGACAGACAGTCTTTGAAGTCCTCTAACAATATGAGCTGCTCGAGGTCTTCTTTGGTCTCCACCTTCCGAGAGGCACACCACTCTTGGAAAAGCAGTTCCTTGATTGTGGCGAATTCGGTGAACGTGTGCTCCGAGGTCTTTTTCAGGTTCCTGAACTTCTGCCTGTAAGCCTCAGGTACCAATTGGTAAGCCATGAGCACTACCTTCTTCACCTTGTCGTAATCGCCGGAGTCATCAAGGGACAACGTGGAGTAGGCGATTTGGGCCTTCCCAGTCAAGACAGACTGTATCATGATGGTCCAATTCTCCTTTGGCCATTCCAAAGAGGCTGCGACCTTCTCGAAGGCTGCGAAGAACTTCGAAACTTCCTTCTCGTTGAACTTCGGGACCATTTTGATGTTCCTTACCGGATTGAAACTACTTGTTTACATTGTTTGCCTCCCACCGCCTAATCGCAATACTTCTAGCTCATGTTGTCTCTCTTTTTCTTTTTCTTCTCTCTCTCGCTCTTCTCTTTCTCGTTTCTCTTCTCTTTCTCGCTCTTCTCTTTCTCGTTTCTCTTCTCTTTCTCGCTCTTCTCTTCTTTCTTCTTTTTCTAGTCTCTCTCTTTCCATTTCTAATTTCTTCCCAGTCTCTCTCTCTCCATTTCTAATTTTTCTTCTCTCTCTCTCTAGCGATTTCTAGCTTTTTCCATTCTATTTCACGGTGGATCTCTACTTCACGCATTTTCACAGTAAGTAAACTTATATCCAGTTCACTCTCATCACTTTCAACATCACTGCCCTTACCTTCCTTTTCAGTGGAAGCTATTTTCTCACCTTCTTTTATACTATGTGCCTCGCTTTCCTTTTTCTCCTCGGCCTTCAAGTGTTTGTGAACCTTTGACAAGATCTCCACACGGGAATCACTGGCACGTATCTTTATCTCCAGATAGGCACTTACTAATACGAGTTCCTGTTTTCCCAGATATTTTAATTTGGCAAGACAGTCCTCCCTGTTCAGAAAGGCCTGAACATCGTCCAGATCGTCAATGGTCGCTTTTTCTGCCATTGTCACTTAGATGGAACACTAGCACTTAACGCACCGAGCACTTCAGTTGCCACTGTTGCACGTAATTACACCGGGCACCGCGCTACGCAATATTGCACTTAATCATAGCGAGCACCGCACTCTACAATATTGCACTGAATCACACCGAGCACTGCACAGGATGTATAACATCCTAATAGTTACACACGGGGAATTATTTACAGAGGATTGCGCTACGTTACCACCCCTGTCAAACATGCTTGACAAGGGGTCGGATCCCGCTGGGGATGCCAATTATGTTACGGCCCTATTGGGTCACAACTGGATTCTTCTCTGATGTTATTAGAGTTTGGGTATCCGGCCCCAAGTTAGTAGTGGCTTTCAAGGGGTGTGTTCCGTAACGCAAGTAAATTAAAGGGGAAGGGATACAAATGCTCAGATATATATATATATATATATATATATAATCACCACCACTATAAATAAATATATAAACTGTCACACGGGGGGTATAAATACACAATGTACAGAATCGTCTTCCTCTGAAGACACGGGATGCTCCACGGTGCTCACGATGAGTAGCCCTGGTTCTCTTCATCGTGGCCCACGATGAATCCTCTGATTCTTTCGGCGAATCTACCCCGGCCACAGGCCAGCCAAATCACAGTCCCACTGGGTGCACCGTCGTGGAGGCCTTCAACCACAAATCCAGCCTGTAGCTGGCAGGTTCCGATCAGCTCCGCTGTGTAG